TTGAAACCAGCCTTAGATGATAAGATGGAAATGGTCTAAGTTTGGCACAAATAAAGTTCTAATTGATTTACCTTTTCAATAATTCAGAAGCCAAGGCCATATTTAACTAATACGGTAACTTTATCTGTTACCGAGTTCGATATATTATCATCCTGTCTTGATACACGACTTCATCTTTGAGTCTGAGTGAAAATATAATTTCGCTCTGACAAGTTTTCCTTTTATTTATCAGGAAATGAAACAAGGGTATATAGCACAACAACATGCACAAGTGGTCGGCAAGAACTTGAAGCAGGTGTTAACGGGAGGGAAAGAACACAAGCTGGCTACATATAAGGCTGCTAGTTCTGAACTTGCAATTGTTTCTCTTGGGAGAAAAGAGGGTGTGGCTCAATTTCCATTTATTACAATTAGTGGATGCATTCCTGGCAAGATCAGATCTGGGGACCTGTTTGTGGGAAAGACGAGGAAAGAGCTCGGCTTAAAGCCTTAAACCCTGATCATTGGCATTATAGAAGGTGAGATTGAATTCTGTGTGCAATTTGGTTTTCTTTTCTCCTCTACTTTATTAATTGAACAAGTATTTCATGCGAAATTAACACATTAATCATTTTTGCAATAATTTGATTTTCAGCAAGAAGAGGCAGTTCGGTTTTGGTGACTATATGCAATAATTCCTTACTGACTGCAGTGAAAAACACCAGAGTTCTGTTTGTACTGTTGTGAATTTCCACCCGCTCTCTCTTTTTTTTTTTTTTTGATTGAAGATCCATCAGCTCATTTGAGTTTCGACAATAGATTCTATAATCCATACCCACCAAAAAAAAAAAAAAAAAAAAAAACTATTGATAAGAAGAAAAATATGAAAATAAAAATAAAAGAAGCGATGCAGTTTTCACTATCATTTCTAGTCTAATCTAGGTTAAAAGAACGGACGACACGTAGCGTTCATCCAACAGAGTCAAAGCCAAGTCATATACAGGATCAGGAGATCAAAACAAAAAGATTAACAAAAATAAACAAACAAATCAAATCAAAGGAAATGGAAAAGATGAAAATCAAAATAGTTACGGTGTTCTTCATGGTGTCGGTGGCGACGATGTCGGAATTATCGTCGCGAAAGTAGGCGTTTGGGCAATCGGAGAAGAGGCTGATGCTGACGCTCCACTCCACGACGGATTGGCGTCCGTCGGGGTTCCGCCACACTCTGGCAACTCTCACCCTCGCCTTGCCGTGCCTCTGCTCGAACTTGAACCCGTCATTCTCGTTCGCCATGGCCGATCAATCTAGAAGAAGACGAAGAAGAAGAAGAAGATGATGTTTATCAAGTTTTGCTTTTTGGTTGGCGCTCACTTGAACAGAAGAGTTCTTTTGTTTTTTTTTTTCTTTTTCTTTTTGGGGGTTATATTACCGGAAATAAATGATACTTTGAATACTAGGTAGCAAAAAAAGAATAAAAAAAATGTTACTATGAATACTGTGGGTAATGGAATTGGTGGTGAGTTCTGACGCGAGGTAGTTTGGAGATGCTCACCCTCGTTTCAGGGCGCGTGAGGGGCCATCTCCACCCCATTTTCTATTTTAGAGTCGCTTTACTTCTAAAATAAAGTTACGTTCGTTTGAATTTTTATTGATTTAAAATTTTTTATTTGATGAAAAAATTAAATTATATAGTTTAAATTGTAATTTAAATTAACGTTTAGATGTGTAGTTAAAGTTTTAATTTAAATATATAATAAAATTTGAGATGTGAAAAGTAAAGAGAGTTGGCACTTTTATTGTTTAAAAATAGTTTAATCTATTTAACTTGATGAGAAAGCTAAACTCTAAATTAAGCTATTTAGTTTTAAAAAATAATTTTAATTTTTTAGTAATTAATTAATTTCTTAGAGATTAATTCTTATTGTTTTCAGTTTAGTTAAATTTTAATATTTTAATATGGTGCCACGTCAGATAATCCGTTAGTGTTCTTGACGGAATTGGACGAAAATGGTGTTTTGAATCATTTTCTATATATTGGGGGTGTTTTGAATCATTTTAAAAAATTAATGGTATTTTAAATTGAGATATATAGTTCGAGAGCAATTATGAAAATAATCTTTTTAAAAAAAAAATAAAAATAAAAGCATCTACCCGACATTTTTGAACCTCTTTTAATCTCAAAGATCATAAAAAAAATGAAAATATCTCATTTAAGATAACTCGAAACAAATAGAAAACGTCATTACCAAAATCGTAATTGTGAACGGTAAAAATTTGAATTTTTCCATATAATAGTAATGTAATTATTATAAAGATTTATAAATTTCAGCATTCATGTAAAACAATACAATAGACATTACTTTCAATTATAATTAAAGTTATACATTATAAAATGTACATTACCTTAAAGAATATAATTTTTTTCATAATGACAAAAATAATTAAAAAAACATGTTTAATATGTTCATCATAGTATCAATATAAGTATTACCATAAATAATAAAATGTCTGCAATGATAAAAAAAAATCATATACTTTTCATTATGACAAATAATATTAATTAAACAAGAAGAATAAATTAAAAACTTTTCATTATACTATATTTTCTGATGCACTGTGTATTATAATGAAGATATAATAATTATATTTGGAAATTGAGAATTAAACTTCTAAATAAAAATTAAAATCCAAATCTACTCATAAAAATGTAAAAAAAAAATAAAAATAAATAAATAACAACACCGTATATTATTTAATTCAAAAATCCCAAATAAACATAAAACATCAACATGATGCAAAAACTGCCATAAGACACAAATTTTAGTAAGAAGGAAAAAAGCCATGACTCGACACGATAAAACCACCGCAAACAAAAAGGTAAATTGCATCGTTGTACCTTAAACTATTCATTTTTATATAATACATTCTAAACTTTAAAATCAGTTGTAGTTAATGTTTAATAGATACCGAATGTTATCAAATTAATGGTTTAAAACACGTAATTCACACATGAAAGATAAAAATCGTCACTTTTCAAGTCATATCACACGCAAATATCGTGTTTCGAGTTATTAATTTGATAACGCCATTAACATTTAGATTTTAGTTGCACTGATTTTAAAACTCAAGGTGTAACTTATTAAACTTGAAAGATCAAAATCTATTATGTAAAAACTGAATAATTTAAAGTAAAACATTGTAATTTACTCGCGAACAAAATAAGACATTAGGCTCTACTGCAACAACATAAGTCAAAAAGGAGTCACTATACACCATGCATAATAGAACTTCCAAAACTAAATCACTAAAGGAATGAAGAATGGAAATCAAAAAATTGATGGCGGGAGAAACAAGTTTCTCATATGCGCCCCTATTTACAAAAGTTTATCATCAACTCCCAAATAAAGTTGGGGAAGAACAAGTCAACACCTAAATTAGAGAGAGAGGGGGGAAAATCGAATTATTTAAATGGACATTCTCTGATAAGTCAATTTATTAGTAGGTTCTATTTTCTGTCTATTAGATTTGTATAAAATCACGTAAAAATTAAAAAATATGTAAATTTAACGGTTAGAAAAACTTAACCTACCGACACGCCGAGTGTATTAAAAAATCTCTCTTATTTAAAAGAAACAATAAAAATCAACCACACAACACAAAATAAACAATAAAAAATACCCGATATTACATATTACTCATTCTTTAAAAATAGATATTTTTTTATAAATATTTTTTAAAATTTAAGGCTTTTAAAGCAAACATTTTATATAATTATTTTAAGCACAAAATTCCAACAAAACCCAAAACTAACCAACTCCCAAATTAGTTGCAAGCAAATCTTTGACTTTTTTTTGGTATACACAAAATCCAGCCAATCAAATGTTCAATGCATAGTCGCATGGCTGCAGCATTGTACACAAGTGTTAAAGATTAAAAAGTTTGCAGACTCCAAAGACCCAAAAATAAATAAATAAATAAATAAATGAGGTCCTTAATTTTTAGAGTGATGAAACGATGGAGACTTTGAGAGTGTGATAACACTAATAAATTTCCTCTTTTATTCAACAAAAATTCAGATTTTTTTTTATAAAAATTAATAAGTACCATTATAAATAATTGGTAGGATTTGAAAAACACGTATTAGTAGAGTTGTGTTTTCAACCATCAAATCAATATAAAAAAGCACATTATATTAGTCAATTTTAAGGGTAAATTTTAGAACAGAAAAATGAAATAAATATCCTTATAGATGACATGAATTTTAATTTTTATTCTTTAAAATTGATTAATACCCTTTTAATTATGGGAGATTCTTTAGTACGCCGGCGTGCCGATAGATTAAGTTTTTCTAACTGTTAAATTTACACATTTTTTTACTTTTACGTACTTTTATGCAGAGTCAACAAACATAATCGTAATCTATTAGTATATTGACGTACTGAAAAATATCATTTTAATTATATTAAAAAAAAGAATTAATTAAAAATAATTGATAAAAATTTAGATCGGTACATAAATTCAAACCTCATTCATTTTACCGATTTAAGTTTTTAATTTTAAATTTTTACAATTAAAATTTTTTAAAAAATATTACATTTAATTTTTTTATTATAATTAAAAAATTTTAAAAAATAAAATATCTTAATTTAAATATGTAAAGAGAGGAACGAGGCCGAAATTCTCTCTTATAGAAAAATTTCGTAAACCCACGTGAGGCCTTACCGTTGACCATAAAAGAGACAAAGACAACAAAAAGCGGTTGTTGTTGCTCTTTTTTTATTTCAAAGAAAATAATAATAAATAACAGATTGCCAGAATGGCACGCTACGGCTACGGCTACCGACAAATCGTTTAAGAAAACTTGTCTTTCAACGCGTTTACAGAATTGCGTTTGGAAAGAAGATTTGTGTGATAATAAATTATAGTTTGTAATTTATTATAATATTTGTTTCATAAAAAATATACATAAAACAAAAATAATTTTAAATTATAATTCTAAATTCATTATAATCAAAACATCCGACTTCACTTCAGCACCAGAAATCCAAACTTAATCTGAACTCATCAAAGACTGAGTCCAAAACCACGGAGAATCTTTACTGTCTCCATTTTCCGATTACTTTCTCATCAAGAAAAAAGAAAATTCCGAGTATCTAGAATCTTCTTTCTTGAAGATTATCTTATTTATTCCGCTGGTCGCGACCTGCATTTTGTTCAATCGAAGACACTTTTGGATTTCATTGCTTTGACTTTGTTCCCAAATTTGAGAAATTTGGGCTTTTTTTTTTTGGTTCCGTAATTCGGTGGCTGATTTTATGGCAAATCAAGGCGGAGAAAAGAAGAGAGTGGTGATTGTAGGAGGTGGTGCGGCTGGTTCCGTTATTGCTCGCTCTCTTCAGTTATGTGCCGATGTAGTCCTTATAGATCAGTAAGATTCTACTTTTGCTCTCTTTTTTTCGATTTTTTTTGGAGGTGTAATGTCTGAATTATTGGTCATGTTCGTATAAATTGTTTTTAGGTAGACTTGTTGCGTTCGTTTATACTTTTAACATGTAAATTTTTTGTTTGGAATACTTCTTTGTTTTTTTTCCCCTCAGTTTGGGCCTTTGGGGTGTTTGGAAATGGTGGATTTGGGTTTTCTGTGTAATTCTGGAGTGAAATAGCTACCTGGGTTGGAGATAAATGGAAAAACTAATGAAAAATGTGTGAAACATTGTAAAGAAAATTGCTTAAACTTGGTTCTGAAGTTGTGGTTATTGATGGGTTAAAAAGTGGGGAGTGGTTTTTTTTTTTTTTTTTTTTCGGAAAAGCAAAAATATTTGATGGGATTCTCTTGAGTAACATCTTTGAGAATTCCATAATTTTTAACGTTTTTTTTCACTTAAACAAAGAACAGAAAATGAGAGTGTAACCAAGCATCTTTGAAGTACATAGACATTATAAGCGTATCTGACCCTAAGCGAATGAGGTGTGTTAGGCAGTTTACCTGTCGTGTCATTGGTTCCTTGTCATTTTGTTCAAAGCTTTTACTGTAGTCGTCGATGGAGTAAGGATCTGGACCTAGTATAGAACTTTTAGACAAAAAGTGCCAGAATAGGATATGAAGAGCATAATTCGTCATTTTGTTTCTAATACATCAAAACGAAAAGAGAAAACACAATCAAGATTTATTAATTGGTTCTCTAACTACAGAAATTGTTTTACTCAATTATCTTTTTCCTCTAAATCTCTATTGGTTGAGTTCCGATTCTAAATTTCACATCTTACTAGATATATATGATTGAGCAGGCATATATCCTAAACATTTCGATAGTATACTATTTAAATCTATTCTAAACATTTTCTATTAATCCCATAAATCATTGATGTCTTCAGTTTCACTTTTTCTCTCTTATCGGTTCTTCTTTTTTTTTCTTTTTTTCTTTTCTTTTTAAGTAAAGAATTGCTGTCATATCATTTTCTGATTTTGAAAATGAACAAATGAATTAGGAAGGAGTATTACGAGATTCCATGGGGGAGCTTGAGGGCTATGGTGGAGCCATCATTTGCTGAAAGAACAGTGATTAAGCACTCTGATTATCTTACCAATGTGCAGATTGTTGTATCTACTGCAACTAATGTCACAGAAAGTGAAGTTTTCACTGCAGATGGCCATTCGTTTGCATACGATTATCTGGTTGTTGCTACTGGTCACAAGGATTCTTTTCCCAGAACTAGATCTGAAAGGCTCAGTCAGTATGAGTCAGGTGAACACAAAAATGCATGAGATAGAAGTATCAGTATTTTCTGCTTTGCCTTGTTGAATATATACAATAAGAACTTAGGGGCATGAGGTGATTGCGTTGAAATCGAAATCAAGTGTGGAACGGGAATATATATAACGTTTAAGCACGATGTTGTTTTTCATTTTCAACTCC